TCTGTTAAAGCATCTATGGCATTAAAAATCTAATATGTCAACTGCCTGTACGGAATTTGTAAACCTTTGGCATTCCTTCTTTGAAGGCTGGTTACTGCCAAAAATTTGATATTATTGGTCTTGTTCTATACCTGCACTGTGTTCTGAAGTCATCTTCTTGATTCTATTTGCTGTGCATTTTCATTCATTTTCCGCTACTTCATATTTTTATTATCGTAAAATGATTAATGTAAATAATTGACTGCAGTTTCCTGGTGATGTAACTTCTTCTTCAAGTGAATATGCTCAAGCAGTCAAGCTACACCAAGAAGTACTCGTGGCATGTTTGTTAGGTGAATTGGAAGAATAATGTACGGCTTAAATGTTACAAAATAAGTTAAAATCTTCATTATTATGTCTAGTCATATCCATTACTGGGTACCAAATGCACGCTTAATTATGAAAAATTCGATTGTTGACATATATTTAAATACCAGTCAGATCTATTGAGATAAATACTTGTGTTGATGCGTTTTCAGTGTGAAATCTTGATGAGCTACTCACTGAATGTATCTGTATAAAGACTTAACACAAATTTATGGTCGGCTATTCATTTTGATGCTATTAAAACAATTAGATCACCAGCAACTCCAACATGTCATGTTAGTTTAGGTTTACCTTCTCTCTTACGGTGCTATAGATTGCATTAGTCTTACAAACAAGATCCTCTATTTTAGTGACGGCAGAATACTTGAAAAAGAAGGAAATTAACCTACTATTTGTTGCAAGTAGCAAGTTCCTTGGGTGTTTCTTGTCATCCCAGCTTTACAAGAAAGTGACCATTCACCTTTCTCAAAGGGGTACCCCCATGTGGCATGTGCCACTAACTCCCCAACATAATATTATGTGCACTCAATCAAGTGCGTGGCCATTACACTAGATTAGACAATTATTTTTTATTTAAAATGTTTCTAACGGAGCACATTGGATGAGTTGGATCCGAATTAGCATGGGTCAATGTGCGTGCAAAGTTTTGAATTCAATATATCATCCTATGATAGATATAGAGATGCGTAGAAGCAAAAAAAAAGAAAAAAAAGTATTCATGTAGTGGATTTCAAATTTGTTCGAGGTTAAAATTATAAAATTCTATTCGTTGTTTTACTTTAGCGACTCAATTTATTCATTAGGTCGTATTGGACCAAGGTATCACTCGGCATGGCATTGAACTGAGGCTTGCATCATAACAACCCACACTCCATCTCAACCAAAGAAAATGTAGAGCACGTTTGGTACGTTTGACTTAACAAGATTGAACATGATTAAAAGAAAAGAAGCCGTTCATTTTGTATGGGCTTTTAGTTTGATGTCATACGGCTCCTCAGAGGTCGCAAATAAATTTAAGTATCTTTCGACATTATTTATCTTGATATGTTTATAGGACATAGAGATTCAAACTCTTATCCTAGGGCCTGGGCCTCGAATTGTAGGTTGTCTTGACCACTCCCGTCCATCTAACATATTTAACACGCCAATAGTGGACAATACATGTCTTGTAACCTTTTTTAGGACACGATGACAACAAAACAAATTATTAGGAAAAGCTATCCCAGAACTTTAAATTTAGGCCAAGATTTTCCAGACAATTTGACAACTCACATGTGACTTTAATTTTTCCTACTACTTAACCTACTGTGTTTGAGTAAACCAAATAAGTACCAAAATTGTGAGAGCTACATTTCACCAAATGGAATTGGATGGATTTGATATTATGATATTAGAAACAAATGCGATCTCTTTCAACTCGCTGGCATACTTTTTGGGAACAGTATTTGCATGATAATTCACTCAACTTTCTATATGATTAGTTACTATGAACTTAGAATCGATAAAAATAAATACTTACGATTAGAGGTGATACTACTTGATGTAAATTTTTAAATATTAAATAGTCTTGAGGAGGGTCGTTCTCGTAGGGGTGACTCCTCAAATCTTAGCGCAGCGACATTATACTCTCTGCCATCGATACGTAATCGGGATTATAAAAGTAGATGAGTGGGTCGCTATTTCTTGATACATGGATGAAGACAAAAGGTTGTTGCGATGTCTAGAAAGTCGTAAATTTCATGCAAATGATGCAATATAACAATTAATATTGGTAACGGCAACTGCCCACTTCTGTAGACATTGAATGCTATTTAACCAATGCTTAATCACATGCCAAGTGACAGTTGTTGGTACCTTATCCTCCCCAACTATAGCAAAATCCACTTCAGAACATTGATGAATTGGGGGAAAAAATGAAAATGTTGGCCTTGTTTGCTCAATTATTTTCAAAATACATGTTTTTCTCTCTCATTTTCAATAAATAATATTACACGTAAACTCAAAATTTCTCCTTATTTTTTAAGTGCACATTTTTCATCAAATCGCCATTTCAAAATACATTTTTCTCAATAAAATGGGGCTCAAATAGGCTAATATAAAAACCGTCCGTGGAAAAGGTATCCTTACATAGCAATTACCGGCCTAGTGTGCTTTTCAAAAACTTGGCTTTTTTCAAATTTGAGGTGTAATTCACTTCAGTTTTGAGTAGGCCCAGCAAGGACCAGGCAGCATGTCTTAAATCAAGCTGGATGCTCAACATTTGCTTAGTAAATCAGCTCAGCAGAAGCAAATATTAGTGCTCAAATTTGACACAAAAATCTCAAAAAAATAAAATAAAATCATGGCCATTTCTTCTTTCCTCCCCTTTCTTGTTCTACTCTCATTCTTCTCACCTTTAATTTCTTCATCACCGACAAGCATTACAATTCCTATCCAACTCGTGAACACAAAACCCTATTCAGATCCATACCAGAAGCTCAAACACTTAGCTTCAATCTCCCTAGTCAGAGCCCACCACCTCAAAACTCACAAAAATGTATCTTTGTCCACCATCCCTCTCTTCCCCTACAGTGGAGCCTATTCCATTTCTCTCAAGTTTGGCACGCCACCCCAATCAATTCCTTTGATCATGGACACTGGCAGCAGCTTTTCTTGGTTTCCTTGTACCAAACACTATGTATGTAGAAACTGTACAGTTTCTTCCACAGGCTCAGGTTTTATTACACCATTCATTCCTAAACAGTCTTCTTCTGCCAAGATTATAGGATGTCAAAACCCGAAATGTCGTTGGATTCACACTGCAATTGATTCCCATAAAGAAAACTGTACACAAATCTGCCCTCCTTATCTAATTCTATATGGTCTAGGCTCCACAGGTGGTATAGCCATGGTTGAAACACTTGATCTGCCTGACAAGAGAATACCGAATTTTGCTGTAGGCTGCTCACTCTTTTCGTCGAACCAACCGACTGGAGTAGCTGGCTTCGGCCGGGGACTTTCCTCATTACCAAGCCAATTAGGCGTCAAGAAATTTTCTTACTGTCTTCTTTCCCACAAGTTTGACAACACAGATACAAATAGCATTCTATCCATAGACTACGAGTCGAATTCTGATCAAAAGACTGGAGATTTAAGCTACACTCCACTTCTAAAAAACCCGGTGAGTCCTGGAAATATTGCGTTATCAGACTATTACTATGTTGGTTTGAGAAAAATCACCGTCGGAAGTCAAAGAGTTAAAGTTCCTTACGAGTACTTATCAGCAGATTCAAATGGCAATGGAGGGACTATAGTGGATTCAGGATCCACATTTACTTACATGAATCCAGCCGTGTTTAAGCTCGTTATGATTGCGTTTGTCGAGCAGGTGAAAGACTACAAAAGAGCTGAAGACGTTGAAATGCAGACAGGTTTAAGGCCATGTTTCAACATTATGGAGCATAAAACAGTGCAACTCCCAGAACTGAGATTGCATTTCAAGGGTGGTGCAGAAATGGAATTGCCATTGGAGAATTATTTTTTGACTGCTGGTGATAATGAAGTTTTAGTTACCTGTTTTACTATGGTTACAGCCAATAGTTTCTTGGGACAAGAACTAACTGGTGGTCCATCTATAATTTTGGGAAATTTTCAGATGCAGAATTTTCATGTAGAGTATGATCTGAGGAGTGAAAGGTTTGGATTCATCGAACGGTCATGCAAATGACAGAAAATGTTTCAATGAAAATTATTGAAGAAGTAAGTTCATAAATTCTAGAACATAAGAGTTGGGGGTTTATTCAAGTCCAATGAAGATGCAAATGGCTCCAAGAGAACCCGTAAGGGATCATTCGGCGGGCTTTGGCTCAGTTGGATCAATTTGGGAAACAATACTATTGTTTCAAATGTTAATGGGATTCTAAACAATACTCGAAGCAAAGTCTTCAACCCGGGTGTCTAGAGAGTCAAACTAGTACTTCTACATTTTCTTGGACGATTATGTTCTCTTCTATGTAATGTATTGCAATATTAAGACTCGATTTTATCAAATTCTCGACGTTCTTGTTGAATTAAGTAATACTTGATTCACGTATTATTTTGTTATTCGCACTTGGAATTGCTAAAAAGGAAAGGGTACTTATATGAGTCGAATGGAATGATAAAAATCTTATTATTATTTTTTTTTTGAATTAAGGAGTTTTTGATTCATGTGTCATCTTATTGTTTTCCCTTTGAAACACCCTTTGAATTGCACAAAGGTAAACAGTACTTGCACAATGGAATGGCAGAAATTAAATTTAATGAAAATAAAGCTTAATTTTGTGGTCTCTGCATAAATACTTCAATAGAAAACAAACAAGACAAAACTCAAGAATAAACAGACCGACCACATTGTCAGAGAGAAGGCATGATATAACCACGGAGAGACATTAACACAAGCGTTCCATTTAACAACCTCAATTATGCAAAAGGAGTTTATCCACCCTTCCCCATTGTCCATGGATCTTACAAAAGTCGAAATTGATTTGCTTTTCATTGTAGTCAAGAAAATAGAGCTTTATAGATAACAGACAAGAATCTTCTCTGGACCAGCAGAGTTCGTACCTCCAACCGCTTTAAGTACCATAATGTACACCTCAGGCGCTCCATCCAGTCTACTTAGAAGTTTTATTAAAACCTCTGCCTCTCCCACGGCTTGCTATGGAATTGGTCGACACTCCAGTGTTCTCTGTAGGCATTCTCTGCCATCCTCCTCGGGCCATGAAGCCGGTAGGCGTCATTGATTGATTGTGCCGCCAAGCTTGGCTATTGTTCTCTGTAGACATTCTCTGGCATCCACCCCGATACGTGGAGTTCGTTGGCCTCGATTGATTGTGCTGCCATGCTTGGCTAGCATTATCTGTAGAAATTCTCCGCCAGCCAACCTGGGTGGGTGAACTGGCTGGTATCGATTGATTGTGCCGCCAAGTCTGGCCATTATTCTCCCATCCCTGCCAAACTTGACCACGAGGAGAAGCAGTCGGGTGATTATTCAATCTCGAATAATGACCTGCATTAGATGAACTCGTGGTATTCAATGGAAAGAAACTGTTGTGCACTGGTACTGATGATATTTGAAGACCTTCAATTCCTTTATATTGTCCGATATGAGTAGGATTTTGGGACCCCGAAGTGTCATGTCCTGAATAGTTGGTAGCAAATGGTTGAACATTCCCTTCTCTGGAGTTCGAGTATCGACCTCGACTTGAAACCATATGAACTCTCGCATCAGAAGAAATAGGCGACGAATTTCTGTGAAAAGGTCTACTTACAGCATGCCTTGGAAAATTGTTATGCCTTCCAAAGTTTTTGCCTCCATCGTAACTATATCCAGTACCGGCATTTTTTCGGATCACCTCAGGGAAAGAGTGTTCAGATTTGACTTGACTGTAATCTTTTCTCAGCCTTCCTTGATTATTAACCCTGTATGTCATCATCCTTGTAGTTATCAAAACATTTCAGGACAAAAGGCAGAAAGAGAATTGTGAGCGGATTTTGAATTGACAGACCTTTGACTACAATGGGAATTGCTGCCCCAGTGTTCATGCCAAAGATTCGTTTCAGGTATATCTGCTTCGTAGACAGTCTGAAAAACAAACTCGTGATAACTAAAAGATCTGAAATCTGAAAGATAATTGCCATCCATAAATATAAATATTATACCTTACAATCTGGGATATTTACACCTTGTAAAAGCCTCGGGATTAGTTGACAATGTTGAGGGGTCTCATATAAAACACATCTGGATAGTAGAAGAAATACGAAAAATAAGAATATATGAGACAAAAATGGAAAAGAAATATGACAAGCAAACGTCGAATTTGCAGGCTTACAGAACACTTGTAGTGCAATCCTCGCTGTCAACTTCAGCTAAATAGGAGTCCTCGGAATTCAGATGCATATAACTGTTAATTAGCTCTCTGAACAATACAACACAAGTAAATAATCTGGCCCTTGTTAATGGTTGTTCAATAGTTCACTATACTTTCAGCATGTTCGGCTATGTTACTTTGTTCTAACGTCTTAAGTAAAGAAGTTTTTCGTTCAAAGATAACACTTGCTTTGCCGTCTAAATAACAATTTTGATAAATAAAACAACAATTTTTTTTTTCAAGCTTAGCCAAACATGCTGTTCATGACAAAAACCTACAATACCTTGAAAGGCTATCTAACTTAATTACACCGTCATCCTCCATAGAGAAACTTCCACAGCGTGATCTAAGCTCTCTACCAAAATTTGTTGAGCTTTGTACAAAAACCTTATCAGGATTCTCGGTGTTCCTCATTATCTCAAAATCCTATACATAGTAAGAAAAACTTGAAATCAAGTTAATCTGCACTGAAAAAGAGAGAATGGAGAGAGACAAAAAATGAGAAAAGGCATACTACACAAATCATATCCTGAAACTTGTATGTTATTTAAAAGTAGAGTTTTACTTTATAAGTATGTATAATATTGAACTATTTAATTTTTAGTAAAGAAAAAGTTTCAAATGACCAAAATTCCATTATGTCATAATGCAATAAATTTATGAACAGATAAGGGACAATGTTTTAATAATGATGAGTTAGTGAGGTAACAATAGTCATTTGTTGGTCCAACAAGCAAAAAGGTAAGCTGCTCATCTTGACAATAACCCACCCCTACATTATTGAAACCCAACTTGATGTGCCCATAATATATTTTTGACACATCAGCACATCACATCTCAGCAAATAAGAAGATGCCAACACATTTTTTACACTTCAGCGCATTACACCTTCATGTTTTTCCATTTCCTATGAAGAAATGGGGGACACAAATTCATGGCAGTAGATCTAGCTCATCTCGACTATACCTTACTGTCAAAATAAGCAATATTTTTCCACTTAAAAACTAAGAAAAAAAGTAACTTATAAATAAACCCAATAGCCAAACATGCTCAAATTTGTCATTACCTTCAATTCCTTCTGAATTTTTGTAGTCTCAGTTAGGAGACGCTCTTCATCTATGAAAGGAAGCTTGCATATACCCTATTGGGGACAGGGAAAAAAGCAGCGCTAATAAATGAAACAAACTACTTCCATGATTACAATTCAAATATCAAAACTACGAAAATTTGTAATAGTAGTAAACCTGCCAACTGTATCTTTTGCCATCAATATCCGTCTCGAATTCTATACGTTAAAAAAAAAAGGAAATAAATATCATCCTTCCAGAAAATCCCTCATTATCACTTACAGTTGACAGGTCTTACCGGCAGGATAAAAGTCAATGATATTGGAACTCTCGTCAACCATAAGCCCCTTGTATGCCAGAGGAAGTGCATGAGCGCTGCATAATTTTGTTTTCAGTTAAATAAATTTCATAAGAAGAAAATCAATGCGAAAAACATAAATAATAAGAGTAATGCTATTTAACACCACTAGTGTTACAACACAAGTCTAGGTGGCATTAAGTGTCATTAAATGAAAAGTAGAATTAAATGCATCACATAATTTCACCTTTAATCGAACTTATCACATAATGCCACAAAGATTGGTACTAAATAGCATTATTCAACTAATAAATAGCAAAGATAAAGAATTATACCTTCTTGGGGGAAGGACTCCCATGAGCTGATCAAATGGTTTAAATGGCAATCCTTTCTGAAAATTTACTTTAACTTGTGCAAGTCCTTTAAAATCTGAAGCAAACGGAGCATAATGGTACGGATAAAACCTATAATAAGATATCAATGAGAATTTTACATATTTCGATAGCAGCTTGTGAGAAATTTCCATTTTTATTAAAGAAATATCTTACCACGTCCACGAAGGAACTCCAGTAAAGTAGTACAGAAGAACCCAACAAAGTCCTTCACCATAATTTCTCACCTACAAACAACAATTGTAATGCAAGGAATAATGCCACATAATACAGGATTCATTAAATAGCAAAAGCTACATTAATAAACTCCCTGGGATACAAACAAGTTTCTTATTTTTGCAAGAGTTACTTTCAGAATAAGTAACATACTTCTTAAAAAGCAACTTTTTTACTTATTTTTATCTTAGCCAAACATTCTCATTTAACTTCTAAATATACCACTTTTTTTCTCGTTGTTTCAATGTCCCCAGGATCAGCAGAAAATTTCTCCTTATAATATCTCTCCTTCCATCCAGGTACACCTAATTTCACCTGTAACAGAACACAGAAAAATGAATCTTCATCCTACGGTAAGAAGACTACTGAAAAAGAAATACGAGTCTCGACAGATTTACAGACTTTATCGATTCCAGGACCATTTTTGAAATAATCTGCTAAGTCTCGAATTTGATCTTTCAACTTCTGCTTCAGCTCTTTCGTATTACATAGAATCTGACGTTAAAAAAACACAACCAAAATGTTATATATAGCAAGAGAACAGAAAAGATTGAAGATCGGGAAAAATGGGGGAAAATACCAAAAGAAAAGTGGGATGAAATTGAAAAATGAGGGGAGCTTGTTGGATAAATAAAGTTGCTGACAAGAAGTCTAGTTACACTTCAAAAGAATTTAAAGAGGGAATTATTTAAAACAAATAAATAAAGTCATACTTGTGAATTGTCAACACTCGGTCTATCAATCTGGCTTGCCACAGGATTTACATCTAAGCATGCATCAGAAGTATTTGATAAATCTCCTTTCTCGTTCTCTTCCCCTTCATCAATTTGCTGGATAAACATTGTTTTCCAATTTACTTCCACTAAATACTTTATAGCATATAATTATTTGATCAAATACAAAGATAATTATCCACACTCACATCATCCATACATTCTGCTAAAATCCGCTTCAATTTTTTTTCCCTCAGTCGAGATCTTTTCATGAATATTTGGTCCTCATATTGACCAACATAAAACATGAACTTCTCAATTCTTTTCATCTCGATGTAGGAGGCATTTTTCTCATTCACCTGTTACAAATGCCACCATACAAGATGTTTAACAAGTTTCGCTAAGCTTAAAAAGTTTACTTTGGGAAACTTTATTTAAGTATTTTTAAAATAAATCTATTTGTTGTGGGTCAAAGTTGGATACAAGTAATTACTTAATTTGAGAGTAAGATGAACGCTATTTTCAATTGAATTAACTATTTTTCTTAAAAGTAAATACTAACATATATCCTTCAATCTAAGGAAGCCGTAAGTTCCGTAAATGTAGCTTCGACATTTTTTTCTCTCTTTTTTTCTTTCAGTTAGCCAAACGGACAGGTAGCAAGTGCTCAGAACACAATAGTCACGAGTATACAACACGAGTACACAACAGTGGAAGATAATAATTACCCTTTTCAAATCGACCAAAAAACCTCCAATTTTCCTGAATTCTTTTTTATAGATATGCATCAACAGATCTACAGCACCCTGCAATAAGAAGGATTTTTCTAATTTATTAATATTAATTACGAGAAGCCTGTAGCACCTTAATCATCAAATCTTACGTACTTCGTTACGTTTTAACTACAAAAGATGAAAAGAAAACCTCATGAATCTCAAGGGTAGGCACATGTGGAAGAAAATCATTTCCAACAAAGAAACAAATGAAAACGAAATCGTCTACTATCCTTTCAAAATCACCAACAAAATTCTCAGGAGGATCGGTAATATCCATATCCAGCTCCAGGTACTCTCTCAGTATCCAAACATGGAGAAACTACACATTCCGGAAAAATTAAGTCAAATAAACAAATTTCCAATCATTGCATCCATATTACATGAATAAATATTAATTACGAGGATGCTACCTGGAATGGTTTACTCAGGATCGTAGATCTTTTATTATCTGTGTTAACAGTATCGTTGAATACTATAGATTCTTCCAAACTTGAAACTTCAGCTCTATGAACACTATGTTCAAGAGCTGATACACGACAAAGTTGTTCCTCTTGAACAAGCAAATCCTACAAATAAAGTCCAATATTCAAAATTTTTGGATTTAATACGACATCAATTTTAGACTCGTAAGGTATTATTAAAGCTAGAATCATTTTTTTCAAAAGACACAAGTAAAAGAATGCTTAAAAATGGACCTCTCTTATAATAGAAAAATACAGCTCATGAGTGGCCAATGCAAGCATTATAAGGTCTGCATCCTGCATTAAAATGTAATGAAGTTAGATACTATGATACAAGGAAGTGGCAAAGACAAAAGGGTACTTAAATAGCATAACATTTACACATTTTTTCTTTTCCGTAAAAATTGCTCAAGTAAAATGATGCTGCAACTATGTTCTCGTATGTACCAGGCCATAGAGGCAGTGGCGTGTATTTGCATTGTAACCTTGCAACGAGCGCTGGGCACGTATAAAAGACATGATTTTGTGTTCTCCCTCTCCAGGGACATTAGCATCCGAAAGGATAACCTAAAATATGTATAAACTGTTTCTTTAGTCAATCGAATCTTTAGCAGCCAGCAGGGGATATGAATTTTTGCCTTGAGATAGACCTTGATATTACTCCAGGCTGTACTGCCATTAATCCTCTGCCTGATGTAGCTCTCGAGTTTCTTCGATAGCATGTACATAAATTCTGTTCCAGGCGTGATAACATTGGAATCAGAAACCTTTGATTCTGCTTTCGGTAATACAGTTTTTCCTTCCTTTTCAAACTGTTTTCTCAACGTTTCTTCCATTTCCTCCTGGATGTTATATAAATACTAGATTTGTAAGCACAGAATAAACAGCAAGAAGTTTGTAGAGATTGAAAGTATATGTGAAAACTAAAATAAAGAAAACAAAAAACAAGAAAATTCCAACAGCAATTTGGTTGTCCTTGGAAGCTCGAAAACGTCTAGCCCTTTGCTGATTCATTTTTGCTCGTGGAGCCACTCCATCTGTATCAAATGCCAAGTCATGGAATACAAAATTATTTTTGCCAAGTCAGCTGAATAGCTATGCATTGTTGAGTTAAACTTTATATTAATATCATAAAGGAAACATTTACTGCTAGTTATTCAGGTAAAACAATATCACTACTTAAGCAAGGATTACGCAACACACTAAAATCAGGTTGTCGATGAATAACACGAAAGCACTAATGATCGTGACTATGAAAATTTTTGACCGATAATGTGGAAGAAGATTATAAATGGTATGAAATTTGTAATTCAGCTGACAAAGAAGCTTTGTAAGTTGTAACTCAAAAGTTGTCGACCAAGTTACAGCTATGAGATTGGCTATGGTATTAGAGTGTTATTTCCGAACCAAGAAACCTCTATAGGTGAAGTGAGGCCAAGAAGAAGCTCTAAATCGAATTAAAGGTCCTTCAATAGGAGTTTATAAATTGATTCCCTTTTTCGGGCACCTAAAAATAGAGCTATATACCTATCAAAAAAATAGAGCTATATAAGTAAATTTTTATTTTATCATCAGTCATTATAATAAATATTAGTCATATGAAATTGACGAAAATCACCAAAAGAATAGCCTTTTTCCTTCATATCTGCGGAAAATATGCAACAGATTTTATAAGAAGAGTAAAAACGAGAAAGATCATTACTCACCAATGGCTAAATATAAAAGTTTTCTTGGTCTTACTATGTTGAAAAGTCGATCAATATACTCACAGATATTGTCAAAGACCTCATCAAACGTTGTAGGAGGAAAAGGCTGAAAACAAGAACACAAAATTCAGAATTGTACATCATAAATACTTAAGTATGATGCACTTATAAGGGAAAAATAATGAAAAAAATTCATTCACTGGTGCTCATTGACATGGTGTACAGTATATCTTGCAAGAAATTCGCTTAAATTTTACCAAACTGGGGGCAAATGGAAATCATTTCATATGCCACATTAATGACTTGTTTGTCATAGCAGATTGTACAATATTGGAACGGGATTAAAGAAGGACAAGGAACTTAAAAAAAGATTCTAACTCATTTTTCTTCCTAGCAGAACCATCCATATAAAAAGGTGGAATAATCACGAACGGATAGCTTAACAGAGAGTAAAGTAGAAGGCGATTCATCGACTGGCCATAAACTCTTAAAAGTAAAGAAAATAAACAGAAAAAAGTTCTAAAATACTGCTACGAATTGCAAAATTAATAATTCTATGACATAAATTTGTACAGGAAAATCCCCAAAAAAAAAAAAAGATGAACATACTTTATCATCAGGATGAAAACAGGGATGTATTATTCCATTCATATCGATGTAAAAAGTATCAAATTCTCCATTTTTGTTCTGCAGATTATGATCAGTAAATTCCCCCTTTTCTTCTATGGCATTAACCACTATCTTAGGATATTTCTTCACCAGCCATCGGTAAAATGAAGGTACGCCCATTTTCACTCTCTGCTCTCTCTCGCTTTCTCTCTATATATATCTATCTTTCTTATATGTTGATATGAGTTGGTGGGTACAAGCAGTAGAGCAGATCGTGGGAAAGCAGGAGGATGGCAAATGGTAATGATCAAACACTAGTTTTATAGAATTATTCTTGTCGTATAGAACTATTCATTTACCAGATGAATCCAGATACTCACATGGTGGGCTCCACGCTAAATAAAAAATGGCCAAAAATCCCAATCATACTCTAGTTTTATAGAATTATTCTTGTTGTAAATAACTATTCATCTACCAGATGAATCCAGACACTCACATGGTGGGCTCCATGCGGAATAAAAAATGGCCAAAAATCCCACCCACCCCGTGTGGCATTTCAGTTTTATAGGCTATATAGCAGCTTTTACAAGAATAGAGGTGACTGTTCGTGGACCAAGAAAACAAATAAAAACCATTTCCCTGCCACCTGACGCTTTGATTTTGGGCGTCGGCTTCCATATTAATATATGTACCCATTTTGGCTTATTTGCACAAATGGTACTCAACCTAATCAACACTGTGTGCATTGCACCAGATATCGTGATTCGTGCACTAGAAATTCTTATACAAAGTCGTGATTCGAAGCAAGTCATTCTTAAAACATCACAAACATTCTTAGAGCTTGTTCGACCATATCTTTTTAGAAACATCAGATTTTTTAATGGTGATTTTTTTAGAAAACGTGCGATTAAAAAGTACAAAAAAGTTTTGAATTTATGTGTAAATTATTTGATTGAGAGAATGTATGACTAAAAATTAATTTGAAGAAAAATTAATTTTTAAAAAATGTTGCTCAAACAGGAGCTTAATATACAAATTATTTAATAAAGTCATTCGTAAAACATCACGAACACTCTTAGGGTCCGTTTGATTGCAAGGTGGAAAATGGGTGGAAAGAAAATGAATTCAAGAAAAAATAATTGCCTATAACTTGTTTTCCAAAAAATTATTAATTAAGTGTGTTTGATTAGTATAATTTTCCACCCGAAATTTTTTTAAATTTTTTATCTATTTGTATTCGTTTGACTTTGTTTTACATGGAAATTATCCATTAAAGTGATAATTTTTTTCACAATTGGTTATAAAATTTGTTTCCATTACCAGAAAGTTAAAAAAAAGGGAAAAAAATTCCTAAAAAATCATTTTTTATCAAAATTTAGTGTTCGTTTGACTTTATTTTATATGAAAATTATCCATTAAAGTGAAATAATTTTTTACAATTAATTATACAATTTGTTTGCATTACTAAAAAAAAAGGTGGAATCAGGTTTTCCACCAAAAATATGGGAAATCCAATTCCACAAAATTGGTAAAAACAAGCGTGTGAGATGGGTGAAAGAAATAATGTACATCAAACGAGCCAAATGGGTGAAAATGGAAATAATTTTCCATGAAAAATAATGCTTGTCAAACATGCCCTTAGAACTTGTTCAAGGCCTATTTTTTTAGAAATATCAAATTTTGTAATAATGATTTTTTTGGGAGAACGTGTCATTAAAAAGTAAAAGAAAGTTTTGGAATTATGTGTAAAATTATTTGATTGAGATAATGTATAACAAAAAATGAGTTTGAAGAAAAATTAATTTTTAAAGAGTGTTGCACACTGAATATACAAATAATGATCCTTGATAATATTCAAATCGTCAATTGTCTTGAACGTCAAAATAATCTAATACCTTCTTTTGTAGGTCAATCTCGACATCAGCAACATATGAATATTCTTTGCCGTTATGCCAACATTCTCACATTCACAATAAAAAACGCTAAGATTGACAATTAGAGTGTGTTTGAGATACATTCTTTTGAAAGAATGTATTATTGAATAGTAGATTAATGGAGAATGTGTAGTTAAAAATGAAGGAAAAGTTATTGATGTGATGAAAAATATTATTTTATTGAAGAATGTGTGATTGAAAATGAGTAAAAAAATAAGAATGAAAAATAATGTATACCAAACAAATGTGTAGTTAAAAATAAAAGAAAAGTTATTGATGTGATGAAAAATATTATTTTATTGAAGAATGTGTGATTGAAAATAAATAGAAGAATGAGAATGAAAAAAATAATGTGTACCAAACAGGGCCTTAGTTTCACACAACAATTTAATCTTTCTTATCGCATATGTGAGAGAGAGAGAGAGAGAGAGAAAGAGTATTTGATAAAATTAAAATTACTATAGATCGAAAGACGCCACATTAATTTATATAGACAACTTTTACAACGTGATGACCTAATGTCACTAAGCATCTCCGCGTGTATCCTATAATTTGAGAACTTGCGCAAACTTTTGCAATTAGTTTTTATTCACATGAAAATTTATAAAATTGCCATAAGATGGACAAATTGTGAAGGAAAGTGTCCCACAAAGATCTAAGCGAAGTTTTATTTTGTTGAGAATGTTGGGCACGTTTGGTTACGAATGTGTTGCAAAAGTTGGTATAACGAATGTGAAGAAAATTTTTGGTGGTAATACTTGGAGGTAAAAAGGTTAATAGAAAACTTTCAAGTGAAGCTAGCATGTTGGAATCGCACCAAGTATGATCTTCCACCATTTCAAAAGATTGTAAAGTGGTCAAGACGGGTCCCATGGCTAATACATGAATACCAAAGTTCATGGATGTCAAGTCATAAAGCTACGATCGACGCATTTTTATAATCAACTCATGTTCACAATAGTTGATTGGATGTCCATGGCACATACCAATAAAGTGGTACGACAATGGTTTGAAATTGTCTCATGATTTGGAAAATTTAAGTCACTGTTTGATACACATTCTTTCAAAATATATTCTTTCAAATTTCATTTTCAATCACATTTTTCAATAAAATAATATTTTTTAATCACACATTGACTTTTTCTTACTTTTTAATCACGTATTTCTCATCATATCACTATTTAAAATACATTATTTCCTCAAAAATATCCATCAAACACTCCCTCAATGGATCAAAACTACAACTAGTAATTCAATAAATAATGATGTTACACTTTGATCATCAAACTTTTATTTTATTTTTCGTTTTACAAATTATGCGTCGACTCATATTTTGTTTAAGAAATTCCTCAAGAATATGATGATTTTTCCTTCAATTTTCCAAGCACAAAAGGTGCAATTTCATCCAATTGAACAATAAAAACAAAATATTGAGTTACTAACACATAATGCCACAGTAATATTTTTTGTTAGCCATGTTGCCCTTTTTTATTAATTGAATCTTGTTACATGTACATTAAAATTTATATAAGGGATTAAATAACGTCACACCCTATCATTTGTCAGTTTAAAACATAATCATCTTTTTTTATCCAATTTTTTCCCCGCATATCATTTTTGGTAGCCGATTATGTACCATTTTAATGTACAAATAANTTTTGGTAGCCGATTATGTACCATTTTAATGTACAAATAACAAATTCCTTATTAATTTAGTAGCTAAAGCCATACGGAGTATGTGTATATTTAAACAAAACTAAAAAAGTCAAACGAAGAACAAAAAAATATTTGGTAATCAAAGCAAACCGACGTGATATATATAATGTTTTCGGTCATTGACTTGGGAAGGAGTCATTATATAACAAATCCTTATGAACTTTGAGACTACACAAGTGCGAAATTTCTGGTACAATACTGCATGTGCAAACCTCAATATTTGTATACTTCTACTCAATTTTGTAGAAGTTATATTGATATATCTCTCTTCTCCCCCACCCGACAACTAAGAAAATGGAAGCAATGTCAACTCACCTGCCTAAGCATCCAGTAACAACCTCTGTGGAACCATTCAACAGTGTTAAAGTACTAGCAGAATCTACAGATCTAAAGTCTGTTCCATCTGAATTTTCTTTTGTGAATGAACCCATAGGTTCAAACTCTGATTCAATCCCCATCATTGATTTCACCCTATTCACCTCTGGAAATCCTGATCAAATGTCCAAAGCTATTCAAGAACTTGGCAAAGCTTGTGAAGAATGGGGCTTTTT